TTGATGAGTCCTTGTTATCGTTATTTATGACTAATTATGATGGTTTGAAACATAATTAATACGATCAAAAGAACCACACAAATCAACATATATAAGCAAAAAAGACACGGGGCATAGGTTGACTTTCTTGTATTCGGTCGACCTCGTACCAGATTAGGTCGACCGCGAAACCAACACTTGATCTTCATTTTACGTCAAATAATTGGAAACTTTGATAGAGCACTTATCTTCTATCTGGTCGACCTCTTTCCTTATCCGGTCGACCATTTTGTTAATGAATGCCATCAAGTGGTCGACCTATATACCTTAGGTGGTCGACCATGTTGTTTCTGACGCCAACGAAATGGCCGACCCAAGTTTTATTCTGGTCGACCAAAAATAACAACTTAAACTAAGTGCGGTCGACCAGGTGGTCGTTGAGGTTGACCGCAATGCTTTCTCGTGCTGCCCAAATTAGTCGATTCGGTCGACCGCCTTCAGCAATAGGTCGACCGAAAAGTGCATGTCACCGTGACATGCATGTCATAGTAGGCATACCCTATCTATTATAGATTGATTGTATTCATCAAACTTTTCATTTGCAAAAGAACCCTTGAAAGAGGTTTGCTAACCCTAGGGTTCATGTCGTTAGTGCTTTGTCATCTTGTCTTAGAGTTATTGTCATTTTCAAAATAACTTCTATCTCTCGGTGAAATTAAGGTTTCCTGATATGTAGGGATCGTCTCGTCTAGAGGATTGAGGAAGAAGATGAAGAAGACATAATTTGATTCGAATCAGATGGAGAGGTCGCCTTAATTTGTGTTTATGTATTAACAGTGCATTTAGGACTAATTCTAGTTGGACTGGGATCCATATTATTTCTGGGTCTAATCATTGATTTTTGCAGGCTTTTAAATACATTCAAAAGTGGGCTTGTACATGATCCATGACACCTAGTTTGTCGATAATAGATACTGATTTCCCGATTGTCATTAGGTTGGGCCTTTGATAATTGTCTATCCCAGTTTTTGGTTTTTTGTTTTACTTGATTTTATATTTTATTTACATATGCTTTTGCTTCTAAAATCCTGATCATGCCTTGCGTTCACGCAATTTAAACATAATTATGTGTTCCATCTTTTTTTGGGATTTGGTAAATGGTAGCGTGTCTCTTTACACATTTATCGGTACGAGGTAAACAACAATCCGCCCAATTTAACTCTTCATTAATTGCCCCTATTCCACTCTCTCACTGATTGCCCCTCTTTATGCATTGCACTCATACCTAACAAACCTCTTGTAGACTAATTAGAGGCTTGTGGTTGGATACTTAGTGAGGATATTTTTTTAATTTATGTTTGAAACGAAAGTTAGAATTTCACTTTTGAAGTACCTATGTAATTTAGTTGGGCAAGTATTTTCAAAATGTAAAATTTTATCACCGTATAGGTATACGATTATTGTATAAGGTGTTGATGGTAAAGGAAATGGGTGCTGACTGGTTAGGGTATTAGGTTGTTGATGTTTTAGAGTATATGGTATAAGCTAGGTTATAAGGTGTTGATGGTTTAGAGCATATGGTATTGATTGGTTAGGGTGAGGGTAGGTGTTGTTTTATTTTTCTCGATTTTATATTTTTTTTACATCTGCTTATAAATGCTGATCATGCCTTATTATCAGGAAATTTAGACATAATTATTGTAGCGTGTCTCTTTACACATTTATCGGTACGAGATAAAATGATTTGGTGTGTGCAAAGTAGGTTCTTATTAACAATTTTGCCTTGTTGGTGATCCCGACCATTAGCGATTCGCCTCATATGGAATGAAAATTAGTTAAGAGTTCTTAAGTTCATCTTTCTTCATTATTCTTTGATTTGAACCTGCATGTCTTTGCTCCGAAAGATTCTGTTGTGGCGTGCTAAAGACAATCCGTCCAATTTAACTTTTCATTAATTCCCCGTTTTCCACTCTCTCACTCCCCGACGAATGAGAAACAATCCCTATGATATATTTATCGTTCATTTTAACCCTTCACTTAATAAGAAAGCGAAAATTCACATGATGATCATAAATGTCATGTAGCTTAATTGGTTAATTGTCCTTTAGTTGCTTAGTCAATGAAGCAGAGGTTTGTGGTTCGATACTTAGCGAGGATCAATTTTTGAAAAGAAAGTTAGAATTTCAATTTTGAAGTACCTATGTACTTTAGTTGGGCAAGTATTTTCCAAAATGTAAAATTTTATGAGCGTATAGGTATACGATTATTGTATAAGGTGTTGATGGTTAAGGTAAGGGGTTCAGTGTATAGGGTTTATGTATTCGAGTAGAGTTATTATTGAAGTCAACAATTTTTATAAATTTAATATGCAATCTTTGACGGTTCATTGTTTTAGGCATATGACATATGGTTAGGTAGGGTATAAGGCGTTGATGGTTTAGAGTATATGGTATTGAGTTAGAGTATAAGACCATCTCCATCCCTAAAATTGGTTAGCAATTTCTAAACGTGGTCCCTACCAACACATCATCAATTTTAGCAATTCATCACTTAGAGCATCCCTAACGGTGGGAATGGGTTGGATTGCAATCCTAGGTGACATTGGGATGAAAGTGGAGATATGGGTGACATTGTTGTGGAGACGTTTTCATCATGTGCAAATTTGCACACCATGCAAGTGGTGATGCAATTGAAAGCTGGCCCACTTTTTGTACTTTTTTTTTGTTCTTTCCTTCTTTCTTTTCTTTTTCTTTTTCCTTCTTTCTAGTTTCTGCAACCAAAAGTTGCATATTTCATTTGTCTTTTCTATGTGTTTTGCATTTATCTTGTTCCATTCATTTCTATCATACATATATGTAATTATACATTTAGTTCATGGTTAATATGGTTAATAAGATTAATAATATGATTAAAACTTCAAGATTCACATATATTTCAAGATAATACATCCATACAGTACAAATCGAAAAGAAAAATACACTACACACATCAAGACAACTATTGCATGATTAATTAAAATTAAAACAGATACAAAGCATTAAACTTTTTAATTTAAATCAAATTGAAAACACAGAAAGGAAAAAAAAATACAATCCAACGAAAGTACAATGCGAAATTATTTATCACCTAGTAGCTCATTCATTTGAATCTCATATAGCTTTCTTTGAGTTTCTGTCATTGTTGTTGGATCCATAGCCAACAATTTGACTATCAGCTTATCTTTCCGACGTTGTTCATTTGACTTCAAATCAGCCTCCATAATGGTTGAAAATTTCCTCATTGCTTCTACCTTTTCCGTTTCAATTTCGGCTTGTCGTTGTAGTAACTGCATGTTTTCTGATGATTCAGATGACATAGAATTTTTTTTACCTTTATCCTTGGAGGCTTTTCTACCTGGGGGACGAGGTTGAGATACGGTCTCTGGCTCTCCCATGGATGGCATGGTTGTATTTGAAGATGATGAAGTGTATTGACTAGAAGCGGTATTTTTAGTCCTCTTTGATCCTCCTCTATCTTCATCATGGTCCAGAGGTTTAGCTCTCTCACTTTGACTCCGCCATTTTTCTTCATCCTTTAAGATAGCCCAAGCATGCATAAAAACAAAATCTTTACCTTCATTTTGAAGATATAACTACTTTTCCCTGTTCTTCTTGTCTTCCTCGTTTATACCACTTTCCCTTCTATGTTGGATTTGTTCGTAGCAGCCGACAAACTTTGATACTGCCTGGTTCATCCTGCCCCATCGATTTATCATAGCCTGTTTGCCCCTTTTCTTTTGAGAGCTCTTGTTACGATACCTTTCATAATTAGCCCAAATGCGCTCCCAAAAGCCGCTTAGATTTTGATCTGTACCAATTTCTGCATCTTCACTAATATTAAGCCATGAACTGCACAACAAAAGATCATCATCAACATTCCAAAGAGCTTTTCGTGGCTGATCTTGCATCACCCTTTCTTGGCTACAATGTCCAGGAAATTGAGAACTTTGTTCCATATAGCTAGTTGGAATGTCTGAAGATTGATTTGGTGGGGGTTGGGAAAAGTTTGTTGGAACTTGCATTGATGGATGGTTTTGTTGGAAGTAGGCAAAGTTAGGATTTGGGTAGATAGGCATTGAGAAATTACCCGCATGTGAAAAAAATGAGGAGTTCATTTGAGGGGTTGTGTATGGACTGATAGGAGATTGCGAATCTTGATGAGTCTCATCACTAGGGACATTTGCTGAATTATAAGGGAAGTTGGAATATGGATTGAAGGGAGGACGAAACGGATCCATAAGAGAAGAAAGCATAGGAAGGAAGACAAATGCTAGTTTGAAGGAGGTGAGAAAGATTTTGTGGTGATTTTCCTATTTATCAACCACTCAACTTATCTACCCAATAGATGGAGAATGGACTCGGACCAATGAGAAAGCTCCACGTCATCACCTAATCTATCTAACGGATAGAAAATATGGTGGGCCAATAAGTAAGCTCCAACACATATGATGACATTATCTCTTCCTGACAATTGGACCAACCAATAGGAACACTCCACATCATCACCTAATCTACTCCTGATCTATCTAACGGATAGAAATCAACTTCGGCCAATAAGAAAGTTCCACCTCATTGATCTTATCTCACATCCTCAACCTCAACCCAAAAACTCTTTCTATATTTTCATCAATAAATACAACCACACATTTTCATCTCACATTCAACCATACTCATCAAATATCTGATACAAAGATGAACTCTTCATCTCCTTCATCCTCTCCATCTTCTACTGACTCTAATCCTGATAATCCTTTCTCTCCACCAAAAATTGTCCAATGGCTCTTCGATGATACCTACTCAAAAAGTGTGCAACAATATGTGCAATCACAACAACAACAATATGAAGCCTCTTCATCAAGGCGTCCCAGGAAGCCAAGAAGATACATTGAAAGGCATCGTGAAGATGGTCATCAACGCCTGTACAATGATTACTTCGCTGAGAACCCAACATACCCAGAAGAAAAGTTTCGACGTAGATTTCGCATGCGAAGAAACTTATTTCTTCGCATAGTTTAAGGTGTCACGAATCAAGATCCATACTTCCAAAGCTACCCTGATTGTACGGGCAGAGAAAGCTTCTCGGCACTCCAAAAGTGTACAACATCAATGCGAATGCTAGCATACGGTACGGCTGCAGACAGTGTAGACGAATATCTGAGAATTGCTGAGAGCACCACTGCATAATGTGTTCAACATTTTGTATGAGCTGTTAATGCTGCATTTGGGGACGAGTACCTGAGGAGGCCGAATGCCACAGATATTGCTCGCTTGCTCCACGTGGGACAACAAAGAGGTTTCCCAGGTATGCTAGGAAGTATTGATTGTATGCATTGGGAGTGGAAAAATTGTCCAACGGCATGGAAGGGTCAATATGCTAGAGGGGATCATAAAACTCCTACGATTATGCTTGAAGCTGTTGCTTCGCAGGATTTGTGGATATGGCATGCTTTTTTTGGTCTTCCAGGTACATTGAATGACATAAATGTGCTAGATCGGTCTCCTGTTTTCCATGAGGTGTTAGAAGGAAAAGCACCAAAGGTTCAATATTCTGTTAATGGAAGTAACTATAATTTGGGTTACTACCTGACTGATGGTATTTATCCTAATTGGGCAACATTTGTCAAGTCAATCCCATTACCTCAAGGACCGAAGCACAAGTTATTCGCTAAGAAGCAAGAGGCAGCCAGGAAAGATGTTGAAAGAGCATTTGGGGTACTCCAAGCACGATTTGCAATCATTAATGGTCCATCACGCATGTGGTGCAAAGGTATAATTGGAGACATCAATGAGAGCATGTGTAATTATGCACAACATGATCGTGGAAGATGAGCAAGATTCATATATTCGTCATTTTGATTACACAGACGACGAAGTGAACTTCAATGTATCCATGCCAATTCTCAATCTCGTCTCCCTGAATATGAAGAATATCTTCGAAACAATGCAAGAATTCGTAATCGGTCAACAAATAGTCGACTTCAAGCTGATTTGATAGAAGAGATATGCAGTCGATTTGGTGACGAGGAAGAAGATGATTAATCTATTATTGATTTTAGCTTTATTGCTTTTAAGATATGTACTTTGTGTATTTGTGTTGTTTAAATATTGTATTTTTGTTATTAATATAAAATTGGTGCAATTATCATTATAAAAAAAATTGGTGCAATTATTGGGCCAAAATGTAATTTCTCGGTCTTGTTAATTTAATTATCTGAATCTTTTCAATTTCAACTCAAAGTTAAATTATATTTATTGATATTAATTAATAATATAATAATTTACTAATTTTAGTTGAAAAGTCATTAAAATATTTTAGTAAAATGATGTAAGTAATATGAATATAGAATTGTAGTAAAATTAAGTAGGACCCACGATGCAATTGCATGTGAATGGCATTGATGTATATGGATATGGTATGAAAGTGAGGAGTGAGGTAGTTGTTAAAGTTGTTGAAGTGACAGTAAGGACCACACTTGAAATTGCATAAGAATTGCATTAATGAGGATGGTCTTTTCAATTTCTAGTCATCTATATCCCTAAATTATGCTAGCAATTGCCAAAGTGGGTCCCATTTACTATTTCAAATCTACACAAACACTTATCAATTGAAAAGTCAATAAACAAGAAAATAGAAAAAGAAAATAGTTATCTATGTGGCATTGCTAGAAGAATTCCTAATTTAGCAATCTTACTAGTTTAGAAACAACTCCTCCATCCCTAACCATTGCTAAGTTTTTTCCATCTAAGCTCCACCTCATCTTTAGCAATTGCTAAAAGTTGGGGATGGAGATGGTCTAAGGTGTTTATGGTTTAGAGTATAAGGTATTGAAGGTTAGGGTATAAGGTAGGTAGCAAGGTGTTGATAGTTTAGAGTATATATGGTATTGATTGGTTAGGGTATAAGGTGTTCTTGTTGTAGAGTATACAGTATTGATTGGTTCGGGTATTAGGGTTTAGGGTTTCAAGTTACAATAACATATACCAGATCAATAGGGTAATGTTGCTAAACGAAAAAGTTAGTAATCAACAAAGCCAGTCTAAATTTCTCCCAATCACCCTAAAAGCACATCCCCATCTCCCGCCGTCAATTCCTAAACTTTTCCCTTAATCCGATGGTGAAATACCGTCGATCCTTTTCGCGTCTGTGTCACCCAATCAGATTTCGCCGTTTCTGGAAAGTCGTATTTGCCCATAACCAGTGCTGGTGTTACCAAGGCCGAGGCAGTGGTAGGGATTGTGATTTTCAGTAAATGGGAAGGGCGGGAAAGCTGAGGCAAAGTAATTTTACGAGTCCATTTATAAATTCTTTAATAAGTGAAAGAGAAACTGTGCTCCAAAACCCGAGAGGCACTTATCTCTTCCTGCTGTTCCTTCCTCCTCTCAATCCCTAAAAAGAACTCTTTTTCCCATTTTCTCGGTATGAAACTCTAAAAATGAACCCCAACCACCTCTTCATCCTCCAGTCCCATGCTTTATTTTTGGGTGCAGTGGTAATGGTGATATTGCGTATTATTTTAGATCTCAGTTCCTTTCATTATGTCCTTGTTAGATCATGACTGTTAAACTAACTCCTTCGTTTTATTGTTTCTTCTTTTCTCTCCATACATGGTCTTTTTGAGAGGCAGTGAGGGGAGCAATGACAATAAGTCACCGTCTGAATATTGCCCAAAAATCATCATTTGTTGTTACGATTCCATAATAGGTGTTGTGGAACTAGGGATGTCAATTTCGACCTGACCCGTTTTACCCGACCTGTTTGGCCTGTTTTGGGGCGGGGCGGGGCAGGCATGGGTACTCTCATCGACCTGATCTGCCCTGACCCGCCCCATTCTCGACCCGTTCTTGGCTAAATTACATGTAATCTTAGTCAAATTACTTAGAATTTTTTTTATTACATCATAATGTGGCTATAATAAAGTTATAATAAAGTTGTAAATTATTGAAAATCTCAATTTCTATAATAATTTAACTGCATTTATCATAATATTGTTGTTTTCTTGGTCTTATAATAAAAATAACGAATATTTCTAATGTTTTTCATATAAATTGCATACCCATTGGGTCGACCTGCCCCGACCTGCGACCCGTGATAAATTACCCGACCTTGACCCGACCTGCCATGGGGCGGGTCTGAGTACCAAGAAACCCGCCTCGGACCTGCCCCATTGTCATTCCTATGTGGAACCCTACGTCATATGATGGTTTTTTTTGGCAATATTGACGCGTACATGTTGATCATGCTCTGATATATACAATAGGGGAAAGTCGCCATATGTATAGAATAAAAGAGGGAGGGAAAGTACATTTATTTTTTCAAGATTTGTACTTTTAGTGTTTGAGATCTTATAAATCGGTGAGGGATCCTCCACTCCCAATAAAAATACTGTACTTTATTTTTTGATTACTGACTCCATTTCAGTATTTTTCCGGTGGAGGTTAGTCGCCCGCTGGAGACTCAGATTGAGAGGTTCTGGAGACCTTTAGTCGAGACTTCAGACTGTTTAAGAACCTCCCGCAGTCATTAAAACTGAAATTGGTAAATTACAATCCGGCTTAACTGCAGTCTAGGGGGAACCATATCCGGGTGACTTCTCTCGACTTGAAAACAACCTTCTTGCTTGCTTTGCTTGTTTGCTTGTTTGAACCTGCAGGAGGTTCTTAAACAGTCTGAAGTCTCGACTAAAGGTCTCCAGACCCTCTCAATCCGAGCCTCCAGCAGGCGAGCACTCAAGTGAGGAGGATGCAGGTCGCTTTGTACCTTGTTCGAGAGCCCATTAACTACATAAGGCATACGATGCTCATGAAAGCAAGAACAGTTGCACCTAAACTTGAAGCTGCAGTCGATGAGTACAAGAAAGCCCATGAAAGGAGGAAAAAGGAAAGAGAAGAGCACAAGGAAACCCAGTCAAAGAGCCCAACGACAACCTGATTTTGCGTTGTTTTTCAAGATGATGGACAACCATTTTATGTTTTGTTTTTCAAGATGATGGACAACCAATTTTGGTTTGGTGAATGCTTTCTATATTTGTTTTTTCGTGGAAACTATATTGACTTTTCGAAAAGGAGGAGTTTGCTTTTAAACCCCTATGCCAAGTAGGCAAGTACGCTATTGGGGTCTTCTTCAATAACAAATTGCTTTTAAACCCCTATGCCAAGTAGGCAAGTCGCAACTCATCCACAATTGAGGTGGCTACTCAATTGATGCAGAGCTCGTTCGATTGATGAAATTAATCCAATCAAACCAAAGACAAATTCATGAGATAAACTCAATGAACAAACGGGTTTATTCGATTGAACTTGAATGAATTACAACGTAAAACAACTCTTAAATAGACCTAGCTAGCTTACAGAATAAGGTAAGACTTCCCAATCCTATTACAACATTTAAATAAAACCCAAAACAAACAAGGAAAGAACTCAAAGACAAAACAGTCTAGGAATCCTAATCCTCCAAGGATTCGGATTACTTGCTTCCAACGTAAGAAAATGCAGCCTCGACGCGATCTTTGGACTCTTGGTTCGAAGGCTTCCAAGGTCCAAATCACTCAACCAATTCCTCGACGTTGTACTCTGAATCATGTATTTTGATGTGGTTCAAATCGTGGAACTCGACTCGCAGTCATCCCTTCTGAATCGAGTCTCAAAGTAGCTAGCTTGAACCTGAATTCTGCCTTAGCCAAAAACTGGCAATTTCCAGCTTTCCAGTTACACTTTTGCACAACCTGAAAAGGGACCTTCTGGACTTGATCTCAAGCTCCCAAGTAATCCCAGGTGTTTACAATCATCCCAGGTTCAATGTAAATCAATAAACTCCCATTTTCATCGAGCCATGCGTGACGAACAGGCTTCCAAAGTGAGTTGCCCGAAATGGCAATGTGACTTAACCAAAATTCCAGCTTCTAGCTTGTGAGTGAGGTTGCTTCTGTTTCAAGCCATTGTATCTTGTAGAGAGGTCTAATTGAGATCATATCATTCCACATCGTTCCCAATTGCCCTCGTCTAATTAAATTTGCATTGATGTTTGGTTAACCCAAAAAGTAAAACTTATTGGCTCCCAATCAGCATAATTAATGACGAAAACCCGTAGAAGGCAGATGGAAAATTCTTAGGTAATTAATTTAATGTTCCTAGGATATGGAAAGACTTCAATTCCTTGAATTTCCACCAACGATGTATTAACTCCCCTTTTAGTGAGTGAAGGCAGTATACTAGTTTTCCCGTTTGGGAGCAGCTTTGACCATGTTCAGGCACATTAGAGATGCGAGGTTACCAGGAACACCTCTCCGAGCTTGCATAAGGAAAAACAAGTCAAGTTTACGAATAATGGAATGACCACGGTACCTCGGAAGGAAGCAGTTGACGATCAACCAGTGGAGGAATCAAAGAGGATCTGGGAGGAAAGAAGCATTGATGCGTCCCTTCATGATTTTCGACAGTTCAACTTCAAACTCAAAATCGTTAAGCCGCGCAAGATTGCTTCTGCTCGCAATGGGGTCTCCTCCAGCGGGAAGATCAAGGATCTCAGCAAATTGATGAGGCTGAAAGCAGACTCTATGTCCGAGGAAGATCGACACCATATGAGAATCAGAGGGACCAGAAAGCTCAAGATTGTGATAGAACTTCCTCACGACATGGGTGCAGTAACTTGTGCTTCCTCGACTCCGGAGAACAAAGAAATTTTCCCAGCCAAGATTTTTGATTAATGTCTTCACTTCGGGAGTGAAAGGACCAAGGTGGATGAACTCGTACTCGCCAATAATGGTGGTTTTGCTTGAAAATGAGAGATAGTCACCAAGACTGGAGGTGGATCGGCAATCGTCGTTGGATAAAGAAAGTATCCCCATCTCCGTAAACGATCGACTGTTCTTTGCCATTATGGGATTTCAGATTGTAGGGAAGAAGGAAGTGGGGGAAGGTGAAGATGGAAGAGAGAGATAATGTAGGTGTAAGATGGAGAGATAAGTGGGGAAAGAAAAAATGATCCTAGGGGGTGGAGAGTCTGGAGACGTGAGGGTGATGGAGACAATGGACAGTGGAGG